CACCAAAAACCCTTTAAAGGCCATTCTCAACAAAAGTGTTTGAAGGAAGAGTAAGCACAGTTCTCAGAAAAGGCAAGTCATGGTACCTATCAACAAATACCTGTTGAGCACCTATTTGTGCCACAAATATTGCTAACACTGGGGAAACAATAATGAAGAAGAGAGACACAATCTCTGCCTGCCATGTCAATGCAGTAGGAATCCATTTATAGCACAGACCAAAATGAAGGCACATGAAAATCAAGGATCTGAAAATTATAAATCTGATTTAAACATTTTCAACATATTAAAATAGGCATATAATTATATAAATAATTTGAGATCTGTAAGAGCTCAACAATATCACCTTGGAATAAAGATGATAACTTCCAAATCTACTGCAAGACAATATATTTTGAAAAATAAACACTTTGTCCTGTAAACAAGTAACAATCAGCAAGATAATATGTCCAGACAATTTTATTGCCCAATTTCCAATACTCAGGACCAAAATTAATTCTTAAATTCTGAAGAAAAGATGGTTTTCAGAAATTGTCCATCCCTAATATAGCGACAATATAATTCAGAGGTAAGAGCTATATTTTTCTAGTTGAACTTTTTAAAAATGTTACATCATTCAACTAGTGTACATTACTTAAACCTCTGAGCTCATCCTCTAGCCCAGCACTGTGCAATAGAACTTTTTATGATGATAGAAATATTCTATCTCTACACTGTCTATCTAACTCAGTAGCCATTACCCACATGTAGCTATGGAGCACCTGAAATGTGGCTAGTGTGACTGAGGAACTATATTTCTAATTTTATTTAATTTGAACTTATTAAACTTAGCCACATGTAGATGGTGAACAGTACAAATTTAGTCTTAGGAACTATATTTCTAATTTTATTTAATTTGAACTTATTAAACTTAGCCACATGTAGATGGTGAACAGTACAAATTTAGTCTTAGGAACTATATTTCTAATTTTATTTAATTTGAACTTATTAAACTTAGCCACAGGTAGATGGTGAACAGTGCAAATTTAGTCTTAAACTGGAGGTGATTCTATGAGTGTCAGGTTGGAAAAAAATTCTCCTTCTTTGGATTAATTTTCTCTAAATTGTTTAAAAATTGAAAAAAAGGCAGAAAAATCTCTACATTAATGAAACTGTGAATAAATAGCAAAATAAAGATTAGTACCTGAGGGGAGGGAGGTGGGGGTGACTGGATAAAGAAGATGAAGGGATTAGCTAAAGAACACATATGCATAACCCATGAACAAGGACAATAGTTTGGTGAAGCCAAGGTAGGGGAAGGTGGGGGTGAGTAGGGGTGAGCAAAGGGCGGGGGAAAGGGTGACACCTGCAATTATGTCAACATTAAAAATTGTTAATAAAAAACAATTAGTACCTGATTTAAACAAAATTTATGATTGCAATTTCACTCATGACCTGACTGAATCACACAAAACACACCAAAAAACTGCAGATGTGGTTAAAATATGTGTGACTGCTTTTAAAAAGTCAATGCCTATTATGAAAGGAAAATAATCCAAGGTGTATACACAAATTAATCAACACTCTAAAAAGATTTTAAATACTTATGTTTTGGTAGTGATTGCTCATTCATTTATTTAACACATACATTGTGACAGGCACTTTGTTTATTGTGGGGGTATTATCCTCCTAATATATCACAACAAAAATATCCCCCAAATAGCCATATTTAATCTGATGCATTTGAAGTGATTTAATTTCCTGCAACTTCATGTATAATGGCATCATTTTTGAGTTAGATGATAACATAACCAAATGATCGCTCACTTTTCTGAGTTGACTGTAAAACCAAAGTTCAAATATATTACTGCTTTAAAATGCATAGCATATTCCTCCAGAAGATGGAAGAAACATGAACGTACATTTCCATCAGGTAACTAATATATATTACAAGCACCTAACATGATACACATGAACTTTTTGCAGAAGACATCTTTGATTGAACTTATTTTCCTAAAATAGAATTTAGCCTAAGACTTCCTAAGGAGTCATCAGAAAGATTTTGATTAAAATAAAATCTGCCTTGCTTAGTTGTACAGACAACTGATTTTAAATACGTATGTGAAAATTATTTCTGGATGTTTGGGAAAGTAATTCATTCTTTTCTTTTTCCAGCTTTATTTACATATAACATTGTGTAAGTTTAACATGTATAAAGTGTGGATTTGATGCGCGTATATAATGCAAAATGTTTAGCACCATAGCATTAGTAAACACTTCTATCACATCACATAATTAGCATTTATTTTTTTTTGGTGCAAACACTTAAAATCTACTTTCTTAGCAACTTTTAAGTATGTAATACAATATTGTTAACTATACTCTCCATGCTGTACATTATATCCTGAGAACATATTCATCTTATTACTGGAAGTTTGTACCCTTTGACCAACATGTCCCTGTTTCCCCTATCCACCCACCCTGGTAACTATCACTCTACTCTCTGTTTCTATGAATTCAGGTATTTTAGATTCCACATATAAGTTCAATCACACAGTATTGTCTTTATCTGACTTATTTCACTTAGCATAATTCTCTCAAGGTCTGTCCATGTTGCAAATGGCAGAATTTCAGAAGGTAATTCATTCTTTCAATAAATATTTCCTTTATACCCACTATGTGCCTGGCACCATGCCTGATACCAAAAACGTGACATTTTTTTGACCACAAAACAAGCTCAGCTAGCCCATCAAATTACACACCACCGATGGAAACATTATCAGTTGCCTCACAGCCATATCTGGAACTATTGATGGACACTACTAATATCAGGTATAAACGATTGAAATCTTCTTCTGACCTCTATACATATGTGAGCATGGCAAACAACAAGATATTATACCACATTTCCATTCCATCTGCTAGACTGACACTACCATATTTTGCTTTGGGCCAGCTAGACTGTGTATGTATAGATACATATGTATATATGCCAATAAAACTAGTTATACAGTAATTTAAAAGCAAAGGCTCTGAAATATTTATTAGTCACTCTGATTGGGCTTTGTCCTAAAAGTCACAATCAAGTAAGATCCTGACATCGTGTAAGTAATTATATATATAACAATAACAGTTATATATATATAAAACAGTTTTTTACATTTATTTGGAAGAAACATGCAAATGGAGAATGGATTTTAGTGCTTTTTTGGAAGGCTCGTGTGTTTTTTTTTTTTAAATTTATCTTTATTGTTGAATTAAAGATGTCCCCCTTTTTCCCCCATTGATCCCTTCTACCCTGCACTCAACCCCTGCCCCAGGCCAGATAATCAGGCAGGTGGACATTTTTTTCTTAATTTTTTTTTACCAAGACATTTGTGTAATTTTTTAAACAATTCCATAGAAGGTATATACCCAATTTTGTAATGTAATATATACACTTGCAAAGGAAAAATAAGAAATTTACCCACATTTGTGGTAAGATTGCTGGGATATTTATTCTTATTTATATACTTCTATATTTTCCAACCTTTCTAAAATGACCGCACATTACATTTATAATCAACAAAGTTATATATATATAATGTTATATATATATATAATGTTAGTTACAGTAAAAAAAAAAATCTTACAACTGTTCCAAAATTGGGTCTAGTATAAGCCAGATGAAGGCCTCATATAGAAAAACAGGTGTTGACTACAGGTGTGATTTTAGAGGGCTGGTGCAGGAGGCCCAGGGGCTACTCAATTAGCTAATGACTGGAAGCTCTTTAAAGGAAACAAAGACTTTCACTGTGTAAAGTTAAGGTTTAAAATGAATATTCCTGAGGGAAAGGGAAAGTAGTAACATCTGTTCCCAGCAAGATGGAAATTAAAAAAAGTGACTTTTTCCAGCTCTAAGTCCTGGTTAGATCACTGGATAAATGCATTATTCCCTTCTGGACTCCATAGAACATATTCGTTTAAGCATTTCATAATGAACATTTAGAGAACTATTACTAAAAACCATACAGTTTTGAAAAGTAACACTTTTATTCTGGTTATAAAAATTGTATAATATCTTTGTAGAAACCCTGGGAAATATGGAAAAACTGGGGAATAAAATTAAAATCATCTATGATTTCATCACTCAGAGGTAATCACTATGAGTGGTTTGGTATATAACCTTCTAGTAATTTATTCTAAGCATGTGCGTATATCCCGCTTTCTCACTTAATATTTTATCCTGAGCATTTTCTTATATCATTAGATATGCTTCGTAAACCTCATTCTAATGACTGCCTAATATTACTGATGGCTTAAAGATATCATTTTTGGAGAAAGAATATTATTTTGTCTACTATGGACTTAATTTATCATAAGAACAGATTCAAAATATATCTGGTATTTGAAAAAACTAGCCAAGTAATTTTTCGGAATTAGCAATCTCTTACGGTCCTAACCAACATCAGTATTTTAACTCTAAAAATGGTTTTGTTCTGCTCAAATCCCTGAAAACACCCATATTGTACACAACGATAAATCACTCACATATTTTCCAAAATACAAGCTTAGGCTTGGAAAAATACAAGTCCCTAAGAAATGTTAGTAAAGCATGGCAGGCCCTCCCAGCCAGACTCTGCCTGCTGTAGCAAATCAAGTCCATCACAGGGAGCTTAAAGGAAATACTACTCAAGTAAAATAGAAAAAAATATCTTTAGCACAGACTTGAGCTTCTGAGTAAGTTCATCTGTTCAACTTCCAAACTAAAAAAAAAAGAAAGCTACTGTGATTTTTCTTTCAAAATATTTTTAAATTCAGAAGCTACATAAACAATTCTATTTACAGGCTGCCCCCCTCCAAATCAGCATGGCACATATTTGCTAAGCAAGATTTCTAAAAATTATTTTACTTAGCATACTAATCATATTTTCTTTGCAGTACAGAGGATGGGGAATATTCTATGTAAAAATTTACAATTTCAGCCTAAAGTGAAACTTCATTCCCAATTTTCTTTGGTAGTTTAGAGATTCTTTCCTTACCTGCAAGGCAGTTTAGGATCAGAAAGACCTTCCAAAATGCGAACACCATTGTGTCGAAGTTTGTTGAGTGCAGCTGGGGACCAGAAGCTTGCCTGGGCTAGGCTGAGTCTCAAACTGGCTTCTTCAATCACACCGAGGGTTGGCAGGTTTATCTGCGGGCATCACGGAGCAAATAAGCTTTTTCGGGCTTACTTATTGGATACAGACCTTTCCCAGGGCAGATTTCTGTTTCTTTGAAACACTTTTCATGGGGCGTGTTTCCTTGATATATTTGCTACTGTGTTAATAATAAACCCACGTATTTAAATTCTTCAAGCTCTTTGTACACAGATTCTCTAAGTTTTATTGTTTAAAATCAATCTTAATAAAAGTTATACTTGAGGGGAAAAAATACAGTTGGAAGAGACCCTATGCAAATAAAAGTTGGCAAGACTAATTAATTTCAAATATTTCCATAAAAGTCTAAAAGCTTTGTTTCACTAACATCCTTTTACAAATTATGTTAGTAAATTGGTACACTAAGATTTTCTCAGAAGATGAGGTTCACAAGAAGGGAACAGGGCTTATGAAGCTAGAAAAAAGCATTAATTTCTATGTGAACAAACTCTGCACATGTCACACTTTTTTGAAGCCTTGGCAGTTCTCATCAGCCTCCACCAAAACTGGCAATAAAATGAACTCCATGCTTATGTCTTCCAGGTTAGAAACCTTATAGCATTTATTCACTCACCTAATTTTGCAAAATTGGGTGAGGGAATAAATGCTTTAAGACTTCCATTGAATGAGTCTGAATTTTTGCAGAATTAGGTAACTGAATAGGTGCTACAGGGCTTCCTTGGAAAGGGGATTCACTAGGAGGGAATGGAAGTCTGCACAGGTGAGAAGCCTTCATGTGAACATGAACTTCTAACAGAGTTCCTCTTGTGCTTAAGTTACCATCAGATACGTAAGCATCTCCTCTGGCTCTTCCCATGTGGACTTGAAGTCCTGCTATTTCCATCTCCACAATGGCTCACAGATTTGTCCTTTCTCCAATCTACTATTTCTATTCTGGTCCAGGTCCAGATCCTCAATCCCTGACTTCTTCCTCCTTCATCCTGTGTACCAAACACATGCGACTGTTCCAACCCTGATCAAGCATCTTCAATAACAATATTATGGACTATTTCATCAAGTCCAAAGTCCTTAATCTGGATTCCCAGACTTCTCAAATCTGGTCTTTACCTTTTCTTAACTTAAGACACTTTCAATTATCCACCTGAAAAATGCTATCAAGACTTATTGCATCAAAGTATTCAGTCACATGAAACATGTACAAGTTTCAGAGATATGCTTTATGAACTATAATTCATGGGAGATGTTTGACCCCATCTCATGTTTGCCAAGCCAATTTCCTAAAGCTCAGAAAGCCATTTTGCTTCCATCAGGCCTGATTTCTTCTCACAGCCTTCCCTGTACATGCTCATATCTGATGCCAAACCTTGGCTCCAGGCGACTCCCATCATTACTTAGAATTTTCTCCTTCCCGTCATTATCTAAACATATTCTTTAGTGTGGATCAGTAATGCTGTCCTATGTGAAAATTTCAGTGAACCCACATAATACCCCTCTCAGGGCTCCTCCTTGGATAAATTCACACTGTACATAAAGCCAGTATCCTACAACTGACACTTGATTGCTCTCCAGTAGTTTCCTATATATTAACTGTGTCTCCCCTAAATCCAGTGACTGCGAGCCCCTCCAGGTCAGAGCCAGGTTTTATGTGGATAGTTCCCAATTTAAGAAAAACTGTGTCCCAAAATGTATTGGTAAGTCCAATGACCGAACCGAGAATACATATTCCTACTGAAGCAATGCTATAAACAGAAGTCTTCTTCCCACACCTATGCAGTGCATAGTGTAGCACTGACTTGAATTCTGGGTACTGGGCCATATAGGGTAAGGGAGGAGAAGGAGCAGCAGGTAGCAGAGAAAGAAAACTCCTTTCCCTTCCTAAGACACGAGTTGAATGCAAAGCAACATATTTTTCTCAAATAAATATTGCATGTTTTTTTCACTCACCTTCCTTTATGCCCCCTACCCTCAGGGCCCACTGACCCCTGTTTACCTGTTTCCCTAAGTGAAGGTCTTACTCCCCAAAATATCTTGTGCTTCAAAATTATTTTTTCTTTCCAACCTTATTCCTTCCAGAAACACACTTCCTCTTCTGTATAAGCAGACATTAGCTCCATGTTAGAAGGGAAAGAATCAATTGCCATGAACATTCCCCAACCTGATTGCACTATTAAAAATAGAATTCTTGGTTTCTTTCAGATAAGACTCTGACCAGGAGTATTAGGCAATGCAATAAAAAGAAGTGGTCTGAGGGAGATTTTGCAGAGAACAACTTGTAGGTTGGCCACCTGGAGGTCCACATCAGCTCTTCTCAGGCTTGGTTCTGCCTTTACTTCTGAGTTCACCAAGTCTCCAAAAACCCATGGTTTTTATAATGGCCCCCCTGGAAGTAATGTGGGCTTTTCCAGTGGTGGGGAGCTGGGATGAGGAGAGAAATTTGTAAGCCTAGTGTTTGTAAGCCAGTGGCTTCTTGTGTTTCCTTCTGTGAGCCACTGGTTACTGTAGTAAGGTGACCATAATTTTAATTGATTAAAACTAGGACACTTTTAAAAAAAAAATTGTTGTTGTTGTTTAAAATATTACAGATGTTCCTTTTTCTCCCCAATGACCCATTGCACCCCATCACACCCCCCTCCCCAGTCCCTCTCCACACCATTGTCCATGTCTTTGGGTTGTGTATATATGAGTATAACTTCTTTGGTTAATCTCTCCCCTTCCACTCACCCGCCCTCCTCCATCCCTCTGAGATTCATCAGTCTGATCCATGCTTCCATGTCATTGAATCTATTCTGTTCATCAGTTTATTAAGGACACTTTTGAGAGTGAAGGGGGCACTATTAGCAATTACATGGGAGAGTGTAAACCATAACAGTCCCAGGCAAACCTGAATATCTGTCCACCTGCCCACAGGAGAGTGTTAAGTACAAAGCAGACACTAAGAGCAGGCTTGTTCATTAATTCAATATGTCCAAGCTGGTTGGCCCTGGGATGGCTGGGGTAGAGGATATGATTTAAGGCTATTGCCAAAACATATCTGTACCAGAATCTCTCATACAAGACACTCTAGAATATTTAGGTAAAATGCCAACACTTGTATTATGTGGGACCTAACTTGGAGAGATATAATTCTGTTAAAATAAATTCTCAGAGATAATCTAGATTTTGTGCTTCAGACTGAATTTTGATGTTTTTTACTATTGCTCAAAAGAAGTGGGTCATTAACTGGCATATGAAATATTAAATATCTGACATTTTTATAAGGATTTATAATTTTAAATTGCTTTTCCATTTTATCTTCACAACTGACAATAAAACAAATAGGGCAGGTATTATCTACAGTCTCTAATGAGAAAACGGAGGCTCAGAAACGCTGTGTCTTTCCCAAGGCCACATAGTACGCATTAGGTGCTGTCCCTCCCATCACACAGCACAGTGGCACAGTGTAAATGCAATGTAACAAACAGCCTACTGCCTCCATGTTTCTTCTTTGGGAACTTTCAGAAATTTGCACTATCTGACTTATCTCTCATTTTTTAACTTAAAAATTACAGAAGTAATACTTTTAATTGTAAAGAGATTTTAAAGAACAAAGAATTAGTCTTGGGGATGTAAAGTACACCATAGGGAATATAGTCAATAATATTGTAATAACTGTATGGTGCAAGGTTGGCACTGGAAATATCAGGGGGAACACTTTGTAAGTATATGATTGTCTAACCACTATGCCGTACACCAGAAACTAATACAAAATAATAATGAATGTAAACTGCCATTGAAAAATAAAATTTAAAAAAGAACAAAGAAGTTATAGAGAATAAGAGAAAATCTGCATTCTCTCAACAACATGTGTAATCCCATGCCATGCTCACAAGCAATAACAGTTTAACATTTTTCTCAGACCTCTATGAATTTTCACACACACACAGACACACACACACGATGGTGTTTTTAACATAAAGGTAATCATAATACACATATTGTTCTATAATTTGCTTTTTTCACCTTGAAAAGCATTTTTATTATCTTTTTACATCACCATGTACAACTACATCTTTAGATCTACCTTATTCATTTTAAGGCTGCATGGTTTTTCATAGTATGAATGCACTACAATTTATTTAACCATTCTCCTATTGGCATATTCTTAGGTTGTTTCCAGTTTTCACCATTATAAACAAAGGCAAAGTGAATATCCTTTTGCCTATATCTCTGCCCACTTTATGTGATTATTTCTGTACATTAGGTACTTAAAAATGAAATTGTTGAATCAAAGGGTATGAATATTTTAATTTTTGGTAGATTATGAAAAATTGTCCACCCAAAATTCTTTACAAATCTACATTTCCATTAAGAGTGTATAAGCATGCTTGTTTCTCCACAGCCTTGTCAACAATAAAAATTGTCAGTGTTTTATTTTTATTTGTATCATGGAAGAAAATGGTTGTTTTAATTTGTATTTCTCTAATGAGGTTGAACCTTTCTTCATAGGTGTACTGGCTTAATTGGTGTTCCTTTCCCTGTGAATTGCCTGTTTATGGCCTTAGAACATTTTTCCATTGAGTTATTTTTTAATATTGTAGAAGTTTATAGTTTATGAATTTTAATCTGAATTTGGTATATACATTATAAATATTTTCTTTCAATCCATCACTTTTAAAAAATGATGTCCTTACCAGAGGGAAATGGGGGTGGGAGGAGGCAGGAGGTGGTAAAAGGGGGTTAAATTATGTGGAAAGAGACATGACTTAGGGTGGTGAACACACAGTACAATATACAGGTGACATATTATAGAATTGTACATCTTAAACCTATATAATTTTATTAACCAATGTCACCCCAATAAATTCAATAAAAATAAAATTTAAAA